TGGCTCATGTTAGACTTAGTAATTCAATTCCCAGGCTTGGATATTTCAGATATTCTGTGTGTATTCTATATTTTTATAGTACAAAAGTTTTTTTTATGATGTATATTGCTTTTGCAGGTATTCCTGCCAGGCTATTCATTGGCTTTCCATAAATTTAAAGGGACCATATAACAGCTTAACACATTTAATAAACAGACTGTATATGGAAATAATTTTATGATTTGCAGCAACTTAAAGTTTATCTTAAAAAGTTCTGTTTTAGGTTTGCAAAGCAAACGAATCATTAGGTGATTTAAGACCCCATGGTAATGATGATTTAAATAAAAACTTTAATGTAAACCTTCTGTTCCAATATTCATTCACTTTTCCTTCAAGCTAAGAGGGAAATATGGACTATGTACTGGGGACAGTGTTTAATAAGACAAAATATCTCTTTTTAAAATTGTTTTGCTTACATTTATAAAAGTCACAACTTAAGAGGATACTCCTATAACTGACAAAGGAATAGAGGAACAGCAAGTCAAACAGCTTTTAATGGGCTGTGCCTTCCCGAGTTTGCATTTGTAACTTACAGGTTCACATTTGTTTGGATCTAGGTTTTTGTATAACTTCTTCTTAAGTTTATTTATATAATTTGTTCCTCCTGGTGCCCGGGGTCATTTATTACACCTATTAACTTCTCTCCCTGCACAAAGTCTGCCAGAATTCCTTAACAACTGTCCTCTAGTCTGTTTTTTCTCTCTTTAAATTTAAGATCAAGGATTTGCCGGCACAATGTGTTTTGAGCCTGCTTGTTGCTGGCCTGATTCTTTTTCTGTGCAAAAATAGCAGTACATGTGATTCACCAAACTCTGTGTGTTGAAACACTCTTCAGAAATATAAAACTCTCAAAAATATATTTTTAAACTGTATGGTCAATGCTAGCTGGAACAGACTCTTGGTATTAAATTGATTGATTTCTCTTCTAAGGATAGTTTTCCATTTTGTATAATTTATATGTTGCTCATGGGTTGGGACGAACATTCTTGTACTATCATGCTTTTGCTTTTCTTAAGAAAACATAGACTGGGAAATCTTCAGTCTAACCCATCTTTGGCAGTGAAGACCTGCAGCTTAATTATTAAAATCCCTGTTTGTTCAAATCTTTCTCTTTCCTGACACAATTTCAAAATCATTTAATCATGTTGATTAGAATAATTTCATTAAAATGTAATTTAAAACAAAATAAGGCTATACAGTAGACTTTATTAAATGTTGGAGGCAATTTTAAAATTACATCTCTGGGACACCATATTAATTGGTTGAGAAAAAAAGAATCACTCTAATGTTAAGTAACAATTGAAAATTATTTCACTAAATTTAATTAATGCTGTTTTAAGAAATTTATGTCAAGGCATTTAAAATGGTCAAGCCAATATGAATTTTTATAGACTTAGCCACATTTTGAAAACTTTAAGTATTAAAATTCTAATTTGTTGGCCTTTAACACAGTAGCCTGAGAGGATCCTGTCCAAAAGGTTTATATATACTTTGTTTTTGAGGAAATTTAATAAAAATCAACACTCCATTGTTTGAACTTAGTAAAGCAGCTATATGCTAGATATTGGAGTTTCTTCAGCCGGGTATTCTGTGTAATTTGGAATTATTTGTATTAGGTCTCCTTTCTTATAGAAAAAAATGTGCAGTTATCAGTGCAATCTGTACTTTTAATATTTCCCACAAATTTTCATTGATGTTTAAAAAGCTAATGACTAAAGATGAGAAACTTATAAAGATACACTGCAGCGGTTTGTTTTTTTAATTAATTAATTAATTTAATTTTAATGTTTTTATTTATTTCTGAGAGAGAGAGAGAGAGTGAGCAGGGGAGGGTCAGAGAGAGAGGGAGACACAGAATCTGAAGCAGGTTCCAGGCTCTGAGCTAGCTGTCAGCACAGAGCCTGACGCACACATCCCACAAACCATGAGATCATGACCTGAGCCGAAGTTGGACACTTAACTGACTGACCCTCCTGGGGACCCCTATTTGCTTTTTATTTTTAATATTTGTTTCTTTTTGAGAGAGAGAGACAGAGCATGAATGGGGGAGGGGCAGAGAGAGGGAGACATAGAATCAGAAACAAGCTTCAGGCTCTGAGCTGTCAGCAGAGTCCAATGTGGGGCTTGAACCCACGAACCGTGAGATCATGACCTGAGCTGAATGAAGTCAGACACTTAACCAAATGAGCCATCCAGGCATCCCTGCAGCAATTTATTTGATGTCCAAGTTCAGCTTCTTTTATGTGAGGGGTTCTTTTTGATGTTCTGGACATTGATCCATATACCTCACCCAAGGAATCATACTATGGGTTTCTTCTAACTTAGAATTTCATGACTATAACAAAGCAATTTATTGAGGAAAAACTGAACTTGCAGTGTGGTTTATATATACTACATACATAAAGATTGTAGGAATCATGTACATATATTAACTGCACTATATTTCAAACTTCTGGCTTTCTGGGAGGTGTCTATAATAATAGGCAGGTGAATAAAAATGTAAAACTGAAAATAAAAGACTACTAGTTAGTAGAGAGTATTGACTGTCCACCAAAATTTGTTCTCTCCTTCTCTAATAATGGAATTGGAGCTAAGGTAAACTAAGGACCACATAACACTAGCTAAATTAAATACTACATATCCTTTTTTTCCTCTGAGCTAGAGATGTCCGTGTGTCTAAATTCTTACCACAGGTGTATGAGAGGTTAGGTGTGACACTTCTGAGCTTGGGTCTTAAGGCATTTCTAATAAGCTAAAAAACAGATGTGTCTGCAGCCCAGTTTCATCCAGGGAGAAGGGGAAAATGCCCTAGTGGATAGTGGAGTAACAAGGTGAAAGATACATGGTTCATAGGCCATGTGAATTAGAGACATGTGTCAACCTGAAATACTATAATCATAAACTTAGTTGTTATGTCAACAGAAGCCTCACTGTGACTAACCTTTGGCTATGAGTACCAGCAACTTAATTATTAGAATCCATTTGTTCAAGTCTTTCTCTTTCCTGAGCAGATCTTGGGATGGCTCACAAACTCTTCTCAGGAGCTGTTGTAATTGCTCCTCTACAGCTACTTGAGCTGATCTTTGTGCTCTGGCTTTAGTCCTAATGTCCTGCCATGTCTCTCATTTATAAGATCTTCATATAGTCTTGAAGCCTGTGGATATTGCAGCAATATCTCTCATGCAAGCCAGAGTGGTCCTCATTTCTTTCCAAGCATCATTCTTTCTGTCTTTGCTAAGTAAGCTTCTTTCCCAACATGGCTCCAATGATTTTAATAGACATCCCCACACTCATCTCTCCCTGAAAGGGGAGACTTGTTATAAATCTTGTATGTGACTTATACATTCTATTCTACAATTAGTTTGGGACCAGTTGCCTGGGGAAGAATGATGGTCCCATATCCCTCCCCACCGTCAACTAATGCCCCAGTGTGAAGCCTGAACAGAGTAGCTTCTCTGCTATCCTCAGGATTTATGTAGATGAGTAAACCCATAGTGGTGGGGTTTTTTTTTTTTGGTTTTATTTTGTTTTTATTTTTATTTTTTTTACTACTTTAGTAATTAAACTCACTCAAGACCATCAACAACTTTCTATGTAATGAATAATATTCCCGACCTACTGTTATTATTTCTCTCTTAAAAATTATATGTTGCATTCTTATATATTTTAGAATTAAACAAATAACTGACTCTCAATCACCTTGAATGATAAGCTTCTCTTCATTGTGTCTAGGAGGAATAAATATGCAGCAAAAGGAAAATCAGACTTCAAAGTCAAGATCTAGACACAGTCCCCATTCTTCCACTTACATTTGACTCTAAGCAAGTCAAAAGTTAATATTTATTAGTCTCTGTTTCTTCACCTATAAAAATTGCTATTGTTAATACCTGTTACCCAGAATAGGTGTACATCATGAAATCACAGTCTAAATTCTGACCTGGATTTAGAATTAGATCTCTTTAGTCACACATCTGTTTCTTTCTTTTTTGTTTCCTTTCCTTTCCTTTCCTTTCCTTTCCTTTCCTTTCCTTTCCTTTCCTTTCCTTTCCTTTCCTTTCTTCTTTTCTTTCTTTTTCTTTTTCTTTCTTTCTTTCTTTGTTCCTTCTTTTTTTCTTAAGATTTTGGTTTTTATAAGTACCTTCTACATCCAATGTGGGGCTCAAACGCATAACACTGACACCAGAAATCAAATGTTCCACCAACTGAGCCAGGTAGGTGCCCCCATGCATCTATTTCTAGATCACTTAGTTTTAAAACTAAATGATTTTTTATGTGTAGAATAATAGCATGTTTATTAAATAGTTATTATATTGCAATTAAACTTTTATCTATTCTTAATAATTCCTGTTGGATTATGTATAGTATCCTGAAAAGGAGATTGTTTTTAATTTTAGGAATGTTTTAATTTCACATTATTTGCCATTTTAATTTCTCTCTCTTTCTCTCTCTCTCTCTCTCTCTCTCTCTCTGTGTGTAGTGCATATTTTCACAGAAAACCTTGATGACTTTTGAGAACATTCTACTCTCGATTTTTATTGAGTTTATTGTAGCATGTTCTGTTTTATTTGGTATATGATTTCTGATTCCTAATCTTACATCAAGAGCTTTTCAGGTTTTATTAGGTTCAGTAGACATGAGGGGATGGTTCAAGATTCAGGATTTCCCATTTTGCAACATAGACTTTTTTTTCAGAAGCCATATAGCTGAGCTACTGACCAAGATGAATTGATTTAGCTTTCTTAATTTGAATCTACCCTGCTGTTCTCTCGGGAGGATATATTCTAAGAATATACTATACTAAGAGGTTTAGCAGGGAGAGAGCTGGCATTAAACACTTCTGTGAAGATCACGTTGGAATCAATGATCTAATCCTAGTAGAAGTGAGTTATTGACTTCTTAATGTATAAGGGAGGCATTGGCTCTTGAAGTTTGGTGCACTTTGCTTCTCCTCCAGGGAACAAGGATCTGCTAAAGCCTTAAGGAATGTAAGGAGTTACCTCTTATGGGAGGAGGAAGTTGGCTCTTTGAAAGTCACAAAGCAGGTCAGCATTTCTTCCTTCTGTGTTTTCATTATTTAGCCTTAATAAAGGTCATTGATAAAGGAAGCATTCATTTTACATATATTGGCCCTTATTTGAAGGCCCACAAGTATGGTAGCAACCCAGCAGATGAAAGAAGAGAAATCTGGTCATAAGGTGTCTATAAACTTAGATGGCCTGTGGGGAAACAAAGATTGTTTGTCTTCTTCAGCTTAAGAATAATATATCAAACTATTAATTCTTTTTCCAGGTGAAAAATAACTTTATTTTCTGATTTGATAGAGAATATTCGATTTTATAGAAAGTTCATACAATCCATTCAGATTTATTATATGCACATACAGAGTGATATAATTATATATAAAATATATATGTATTTATATTTATGTACTTTACTATATCAAGTACATGTGTATGTTTATATTTATGTATGTGCTCATACTATAAATCAATGGTTTGAAACTGGGGACTGCGCCTTTCACCTAACCAACTGAGAATTGTTGACTCAGTGAGTGACTTTTAATTGTGGACTGTGTAAAATCTCTCATGACATATGACAGCAAAAAGTTGAAAAATATTTTCTCTACCTTGGTTTGTTATTAGAATTTATACTCCATGATTGTCAGAATTCTCCATGTCAGTAAATAGATCACCCTTTTAAGGGTGTATATTTGTTCATTGTATAGCTATGCTATTAATCTATTTAGCTACTATTCCACTGATGGACATTGCGTTTGTTTCCATTTCCTTCTTGCTCCTTGCCCGTATATTTAGTAATGTTTTAAAGAACATTTTTGTTCAGACATCTGATTGATTCTTTATTTCCTTGGGATATGCTATTAGAGGAAGGGTGTTAGGGACACAGAGATGACATTTAATGTTGATGTATATTGCCAGAGTGCCTTCAAGAAAGATCGGATCAATTGACACTCATCAAAATCTATGAGTGTCTACAGAATGTTGAAAATCTTTAAGATCGTTATCAGTTGACTAGGTGTAAAGTAGTAAATCGTTGTTTGCTTTTGCATTTTGGATTAATAATGAAGGTGTGCAGTTGGTTAGGATCCCAAGCTCTGGAGTCTGACTATGTGAGTTCAAATCCTAGTTTTATCACTTAACAGCTTTTTGATCTTGTGCCAATTATTTAATCTTTCAATGTCTTGGGTTACTCATCTGCAAAATGGTGATAATAAGGGGCGCCTGGGTGGCTTAGTCGGTTAAGCGTCCGACTTTCGCTTAGGTCATGATCTCGCGGTTCGTGGGTTCGAGCCCCGCGTCGGGCTCTGTGCTGACTGCCAGCTCGGAGCCTGGAGCCTGTTTCGGAGTCTGTGTCTCCCTCTCTCTTTGACCCTCCCCTGCTCACGCTGTCTCTCTCTCTCCTTGAAATTTTTTTAAAAAATGGTGATAATAATAACACTAAACCTGTAGGATTGCTGTGAGGATTAAATGATTTAGTACACATGAAGTTCTTTCAACATGTCCTGGTAAACTTACTCTCAAATGCTAGCTATTGATATATTTTCATGTTATCTATATTTTACTTTTCTATTCTTTAACTGTATATTCTAGTTATTTGGTATATTCTATTATGATGTTACTATTTTATTTATTTGTTTTTGATAGAAGACTTTTAATATTACAGATATTAATTACTTGTCTGTCATACATACTACAAATATTTTGTTTGGCATTTCTTTCTACCATATAATGCTTTACCATTTAAGGAAATTTACTCATCTTTTAACATTTCTATCTGAAAAAGCCTTCTTCATCCTAAAGATTATTTTAAAAAATTCAACTATGTTGTCTTAGAGGAATTTAATGATTTTATTTATTTTTACATTTAAGTCTTTAACTTACCTTGAATTGAATTCGTTAACAGTAATGAAGAAAGTATCCAACAAAAGCTTAACTTTTTGAGGATGACAAAGTGGTCAGTTTGAGCACTACAAGGACACACAAAATACTAGAACTACCAATCTTCCTTTGTCAGGTAAAGTCTAAATATATCTTTTGGGAAATCTTTTTCATTATTTGAGGGAAAATTTTAATATTTTCTTCTATTTCTTGCTCTCACTTTCTTTTAAGTTTCTCTTCTAGTTGGAAAACAGCTGGTCTTGGGAGGTCTATGAAAGCTTACCAGACTTTCTTCCCAAGAGTCAGTTATTCCTAGCATATCAGGATTTCACATTGAGAAAATTCATTTTTAAATGTTGGCGTTTTATAAGATTAAAATATTTCCACATGGCATTTCCTACTAGGAACATTATTTGGTCTAACACTGCTAAAATAATTGTCAGTGAAGATGAATGGATTTTACAACTAATTCAAGATCTTTTTGTAATTTGACTCCTGCTATGCATTGGCCAGAGTGATGATTATATCAGTTAATATTAGTAATGGCCATAAAATACAAAGGTATTCCATATCAATGAATCAGAATGGCCTATTTATTATGAACATAACACAGATGTCGCATGCATATGCATTGGACATCTCTTGTGTACCACTCTAGGTCCACTTAGCCTCATCCTTTTTTCCAGTCATGGATACTTGGATCAGTTCTGCACAGACTTTGACCTGCTTTGTGTATCTGTAACCAGAAGTGCCTTGCCACAGCCCATATGAACTTTCTCTATAAACCTACATCCTGGGATGCTTGAACAGACATGAGCAATCTGGAAGTTTGGGAATTTGTGACATATGGGGCAAACCTTGACCATTGTGGGGTGTGTATTGACAGATAAATGCTTCACCCTTTTATCCGTCTAGCAGATACTTTGGAGATACTGTGCTGAAAAGACTCTGAGGTCTTTTCAGAAGGTCCCAGAGATCTAGCACCTGGTTGTACCCACTGGTGATTGATTCCATGTTGCAACTTTGTGTTAGCCATCCCTCCACTTCTATGCATTTTTGTCCCTTCTTGCCCTTCTCGTCCCTCACTCCTGCTCCTGTAATCTTTAATAAACCACTCATGCACCAGACTTCTTTCAGACGCTGCTTTTGGCATTTCTTAGCCTGAGAAATTACATTAGAGAGAATATTTTAAAAATTCTTTCTGATCATTTGGATATGGTGGTTTCCATGGATCATTTTATTTTAGCTTAAGCTACAGAAAACTTAATTACTAGAGACTGTAACTTTGAATTAAAAAAAAATTGCTGAAAATGGCCACAGAGAGTTCAATTTTAGTTGTTTTCTTTTAAAACCAATATCTGTTTTTCTTTTTATATAGTGGCACTAACTGTATTTTAATTGGACAGAAAACACCCTTCAATTAACTTAGCAAAAGGCATTGAGAATAGACCTTTATGTTAATCATTTAATTTATTAGAGATAATGCAAATTCATTACTTGTTTGCTTAGACTCTCAAAATTTAAGTTTGATTTAAAGATTGATATTTAATCTAAACATTATTGCTCTTGGATGCCTGAGTGGTTCAATTGGTTAAGTGTCTGATATTGGCTCAGGTCATGACCTTGGGGTTCATGAGCTCGAGTCCTATATCAAACTCTGTGCTAAAGGTTCAGAGCCTGGAGCCTGCTTTGGATTCTGGTTCTCCCTCTCTCTCTGCCCTTCTTCTCTCCCTCTCTCTGTCTCTGTCTTTCAAAAATAAATAAACATTAAAAAATCTTTATAAAAATATTATTCTTGTAGAAGTGAAAACACAAAGAATCAAATCCTATTATTCATTCCTGTACTCATAATAATCCATGGCTTTAGTATAATACTTATAATCAATATTAAAACATTTAAATATAGGAAAGACATTGCATTCAAGTCCACAAACTGATACAACAGTGAGTTGAAAAGTTGTGAAGAACTGTACTAATTTAAAATTTTACTAGCTATGTAAGATTGTAAATATGTTTCTAAATTAGAGCTCCCACATGCTTTATGGCTTAAGAATATCTCCCCTAATCTTTGGCCACTAGATGTCATGGCAGCTCCATATAAGAAGCCAAGGGTGGGGGAGGGGTTGACTAGTGAATTACCCATTTTAAGACCAGCTGGTCTGTTGCTCTGTTGTAGCTTATAAAACCAGTCATTTTATGAAATGCAGGATCATCTTCAGCCAATATAAGATCCCTTGGATCTTTTATGTGTGTGTTGATAAAGCAAATGTTGAAATTCAACAATTTAGCATAAATTCTGCTTTTGGATAATGTCATTATTCCATTCTTACTCTAACTCCATTAAAAAAAAAGAAACAAAACAATGCTGTGAGCATTGAAAATGGAAAGCAAAAAAAGGAAGTTTCTAAAAACCAACTTATTAAAGCAAGACATGCTGGCCATGACATGGGGAAAACGTGGGCGTAGCTCTTGGACAATAAACGCATGGGTGCAAAAGCAAATACAACAGGAGATGGTAGTTAAAAACATGGGATTTGGAGTCCCCAAAGCCTAGGTTTTGAAATGGATCTTCCCTTTAATATTTGTGTGATGTTTTATCTCCTCATCTATAAAAGAGGGGTTGATAACCTCAAGAGGTTGTTTTACATTTCAAATGAGATTGTGACTATAAAGGTTTTAGCACACCATCCTACACATGGTAAACATTCAACAAATGGACACTCTCATTACGAAGATGGAATTTCATGCTTAATATTTTAAAATGAAGAGCCCAATACTTCAAATGCGAAGAGAGGACAAGCTTTAGTCAGTTTCCTGGGCAAGGGATAGCTCTTAAATGAGTAAAATATAAACAACTCCTCTTAAAGTAAAGCTATCAAGGATGTGAAATAGCTTGTGACTGTGGCCGTGGAAAGGAATTTCTCCCTGGAGTAATCCTCACTAATATCTGCAGTGGCACGTTCCCCCTTTTTATTATTTATTTATTTATTTGTTTATTAAATGTTTGTTTACTTTTTGAGAGAGATCGAGAATGTGCGCCTCACGCACAAACGGGGGAGGGGCAGGGAGAGGAGGAGACTGAGAATCTCAGGCGGGCTCTGCACTGACAGCAGAGAGCCCAGGGCTCAACCTCATGAATCCTGAGA